CGTCAATCCAATCCTCCCTATGGGATGTGCCTGTCCCACAGGAGGGCATGGACTCCAACTGTGTAGGTCATTGGGGCTGGAGGCTATGTAGCACCAGGGTTAACATACCTGCCACTGTCTAGAAAAGAATACCTTCACTCCCTATCACTTTTTTTTTTATGTGTATGCATGTACTGCCTGCATGTAGGTAAGTGCGCCTGTGTCGTGCAATGCCTGCGGGGGTCAGAAGAGGCTGTTGGATCCCCTGGGACTGGAGTTACAGACAATTGTTAGCTGCCATGTGGGTGCTGGGATTCAAACCCGAGTCTTCTGCAAAAACAACCAGTGTTCTTAACCACTGAGCCATCTCTCCAGCCCCCGACTAGAGGTTTAAAGAAGTACATGAAGCAAAAATGAGAAAACGACAGCTGTTTACTCCAGGAGTAAAGGCCCATTACCACTTTATTTTCTATGTATCTGAGTTCCTCATAATAAAATATCAAAATCCTTCTAATGAGTATATATAATAAATATATTATAATGGATATATAGTAAAATATATTATAATGAATACACCCTCTAAGCCTCTGAATCTGTTTCCAGACACTGAGTAAAAGTTCCACAGCAATTGAACAACATTATCTTCAACTAGGTTTATGGTTCTGAATATGAGTTTATTTACCTAAAGTAGAAAAGCAAGTGTAGAATGGGTGGCAGGGGAGGTCTTTAACAGCGCTCCCCTGTGTTCTCTCTGGAGCATCAGCTTGAGGTAAGAGAGGGACAAGGAGTTTGAGCCCCCTCTTCTCCCCAACTTCATCACTGGCCTGACCTGTTTATATTGCTGCTGCACCCGCCATCTACAGGAAACACATTGTGAGCTGCTGTGGGAGTCAGGCTTGAAAGTGCTGTGCTTGCCCTGCCAGTTCTTCCTCCTGTAGAGGTCCAGCTTGCTCAACAGACCAAGTAATATAGCCTCTGAGAGTCACAGATTCCTTCTGGAACCTTGCATGATTTGCCCATTAGAACAAAACAAAACAAAAACAGCTATTTCTACTCTTCTAAAACTACCAAAGACATTTTCAAAAAATTAAATAATTTAAAAACTTTTGGCTTAGTCAATCAAGACCCTCTTTTCACACGTTCATTGGGATCTACTGACTCAATATATAGTTCTATAGTCAAGAGGCCAAGGGTTTAACACCTATGGAGATGTTAACAGTTCTTCCTCTAAGGCAGAAGATGGTCCCTGGGGACCTTCTGACACTGGCTGGAAAGAATTCTTTGTCAGCACTGTGTGTGTGTGTGTGTGTGTGTGTGTGTGTGTGTACACCAGTGGTATATAATGAGCAGAGACCAGGGTAGAAAGCCTGTAACATACAAGATAGCCCCTCAAATTATCCAGCTCTGTGTGGATTTTAGTTTTTGAGATACGTCTTGCTATGCAGTCCAAGTCCTGCTCTTCCAAGTGTACAGGGGTGTGCCTGTAACACTTTCCAGCTTTAAATGTTAATAGAGGAATCTTGATCTAAGGGTTTGAATTATTTCAGTTCAAGTCTGAAGCCACAGGCAGATCAAAGGAACATTATCCAGGCAACTCTCTGGTGGGCAGCCCATAAAAAGTGACAAAGGAGATTAAACATGGTCTCCTGGAGCTCGTCCTTCATTTAATTTCCCTCCTCCATGGGAGTCGGTTTCTCTGCTAAGCATGACTTGCAAAGTACCAGGAAGCCTGTACCACCAAGAAACAGGTCAGGGCTGGGATGCTATTTGCTAGGAATGTGTGATTTATTGTACCATCAAATTTTAATTTAATATGCCTCCAAGTGGTACCTGATTTGAAAAATCTCATGTAATAAATTCATGCATTAAATGCTTCTGTTTTGAAGTCTGAGAGGCTGTTATTGATACATCAATTTATTCCTCCTAGGAAATGGCTGTTGAACACATAAGTATTTAAAGATCATTCCTTGGAATCTGGCACATACACCCAAATGCCCAGATCCAACTACACCTGCAATGTCCCATTCAGGTACCTTGTGTCTCTGTAGTGGAAATCCCTCCCACCTCCAACTGTCCACAGGCTGTGGATGGCACCAGTTTGGTAAGACTTCTCGGTGAGACGACCAGAAAAGGCAAACAGGGCTGACTGTCCCCAAATCCCTTGCCTTCCCTGTACCTTCCTTTTCTGTTTTCAAATAAGCCCACACCTGCATTAATGCACAGTTAGTGTTAACACAAAAAGCCAGGTAATTTAAATGTAAAGCTCTGAAAGCAGCTCACTTAGGCCTCACAGATCTACATCAAGGCATCAGCTTTTATATCCCATGAGCTCTAGAGAGTGCAATCTAGCCATCTGAGATCTCAGCGAGGTGGCTCCTCCACACCACACCACTACACTCTATACTGTCTGGAGTAGGGGTTAAACATATTTTGCAGATTTATGGGCAAACATGGACCCAGGGCAGAAGGTTTGTGTTCTCAGAACATGAAGAGGCTCAAAGCATCCTCTCTCTGAGAGACTACTATGCCCATCTAATGACCTTAATAATCTAACAACTAAGCCTGCCTGGACATGACTTTCTGTGGCCAAGGGATCTGGCGTTGGTGACATCCAAAAGGCCAGGGCACTGAGGTCTGGTTACATCTGTGATACAGAAGAACACCTCTGAAGAATCACAGCTGTCAGGAACCAGGTGCTTCACTGTGGCACCCAGACAGCCACTCCTCACTCTAGGAGAAGTGTCTAGGTAAGTATGATCTTGGAGGACACTCGGATGCCCCTCAGAGATGCCCAGGCAGAAGAGGGATGTAGAGGGTGATGGGCAACTCAGCACAGTCCTGGATGAAGTTGGAATCAGCCCTTCCTATGGTTTCTGTAGGGGGGCTTTCTTTCTCTTTTTCACTTTTGCTACAGAAGGCAAGTGGCAGGAGGCTGAGGCAGGAAGACTGAAAGCTTGAGGCCAGTCTGGGTTATACAGTGAATTCAGGGCATGTGCTATACCAGGAATCAATGAGAAGGGGAAGGAGAAAGCACAGGTCTGAAATCTTAGGTACTTGGAAGGTGGAGGCAGTAGGATAAATTCAAGGGCAAAGGATTGAAGATATAGCTTAGTGGTAGAATGCTTGGGAATGCGTGTGCAGCATGTGAGAGGGCCTGGGTTCAATCCCTAGTAAAGGTAAGTTAGGAGAAAAGGTCAGTGAGATGGCTCACTGGGTAAAGGTATGTGAGACTTCAGCTTCAGCCTTGCTGACAGCCTTATATGGGACCCTGTACTGGAGACCCAGTTAAACTACCCCAGGTCCAAATAGTTAAGCACATTTTAGGAAAAAATTGTTACTAAGAAGGGCCAATGACTGGATGGTTTCGAGGATATGTGGGGCAGAATAGTCAGCTGCCCAGCTGAGCTGCATCCTAAAGGCCAAGTGTCTTTCCTTCATTTAGGACCCAGCACAGACTGGCCTTATCATTTATGCCCCTAAAATTTATTCAACTCTTAAGCAAGCTGTCAGTTCCTGAGGGCAGGTAAAGGAGCACAGGGCTGGAGACTGAGGTGAGGCCAGAATCCTGGCTGCCCTGGACCACTGCATTCCTGGACAGATGATTAGTCTCTCCGGCTTCACTAGCCTCATCTGACACAGATGTTGTAACCACTGTAAGAACCAAAGGCTCTGAGGAGGATCAGCCAGTCTTCCCAACACTGTCAATCCCTAAGAGGTACACAGCAGGTTCATAGGAGTCTTCATTAAACAAAAGATTCAGTCTAGGGCAAGGGTCACTAGAGTTACAAAACAAAAACAAAGACATATAGGGAGTGCTCTGTGCTCCAGGCGTGGTGTGCGCGGGTATCTCGGGGTCCCCGCCACACCTGGCTAGTCGCGGCGCGGGTGTGGCCACAGGCGTCTCTGGCCGCGGAGGGTGCCCCGCAGGCTTTTCCCGCTGCCTTGGGTCCCGTGTCTCTGTCCGCATGTCTCTGGTGCTGAAAGTTTCTCTGCTACTGGAGCGTTGTCCAGCCGAATCCTGTCCCTTTTCCACCTGTGTACTTTC